ACATAATTTGAGATGTGTTAGTGCAAACAATGGTTCAGAAAAAAAAACCTAACAATACCCCTGTGATAGCAAAAATAGAATAATAGTTTAAATGAGATTTTACCAGCTATTGCACTCCACTTTGATTGTATCTCCAGGTTGGTGTTCAATGCCATTGTGAATGCAAGGACAAAGATCTTCTTTGATGCAGCTACCCCTACCATCTGATACCAGCCCAGACGGACACATACAGCCGGAGATGCACTCAGTGCTAATCTGTTTTGGAAAGTTGCATTATATTCAAATGAAAATATATCTTGTGCAACGTTTTTCTAACTATTTGCCTTAGGATAGTGTTTAGAAACCAATTTTAAACACTCACACAAGTCATATCTAACGTGCTGCAGCTCTTTTGGCACTCTGATCCTGTAGATTCAGGAGCAGCACTAGTGCAGTCAAAGAACACCGTAGGTTGGGGACAAGCTGATGGCATAGACAAGACATTTATTAGTGATATCAAGAAAAGCAAAGGAACTAATTTAACTGGATAAAATGTTCCTCACATAAAGCCATAAATGGTGCATGAATATATCACTGAAATCGTACGGACTATTTTAAATGGTTACTACCACAGCCGACTGGACATTTTATGTAACTCCTTTTATGTTTCACGAGGACATCATACAGGTATGAAGCAAAATGAGGGTGAGCAGATGATGACAATTCTATTATTTTGACTATTAATCTCGGTATCAGTTCGTTTTGGCCAGCTCCAATCAGTGTTTGTGCTAAATTAACTTCATGAAATGCAAAATAGTTTCCCTTCAAGGGAAATCCACACTGCGTCCCCTGGGGGACTCTTTGGGGAATGCCATCAGCATGACTGGTGTCTGAAGCATGTGAGAAAACACTTCCAAATTCATTGGACCACGCAGTCCGTGACGTCCTTAGCAGGGTGCCCGAGAGTTTAAGAGGGCGCCGGTAATGCACGTCATCATCTTTTTTGTCTTCAGGAGCCATTTGTTTGTTCAGCGTGTGTGAAGCACTATGGAGCATAAGAAGTCGAGCAAGCATTTTAGGAAATATCTGGCTCCATGTCCGAGATTTATGAAACCTGAGGA